TTTTTGTCCACAGACGTGACAAGCGTGATTTATCTTTCGTCAGTCCTTTGGCAATATCTCCTTGATTTTGTTTTTGAACTTCTCGTATTCATCTTTTTGAAGTCAGAGTCATCGGACTTTCCTCATTCTACTATTATTATAGTGCGCTTCCTTTTTTACGAAGCTCAAAAAGTGTCAATTCCCTTTTATTCATATTAAAATTCAAAATAAATTGATTAAATGACTTTGGTGGGGTGAGCATGACAAGATCACATCTATTTTAGTTTCATTGCTCATTTCAGACCCAAGGAATTTCAGCTCATTAATATAGCCTATCATTGTCGTGACATGATTATGTAGTGGAGTTGATACCGTAAAAGAACCTCCATTTTAGTTGATACTCCCACTAGCCATGACATATGATTCATCTCTATGAAATAAATAAAAACAATGATGGTCAAAGGAAAATCATTTTGGCTTCAATTAATCATCAAGAACCATTACCATATTTTCTCTTTAAAGGAGTGTGATTGAGTGGGGCTTTAAAGTTATTATAAGGAAGTAGTGATTGTATAATTACTATTATAATAGGATGAAGTACCCTTATATTTTATTAAATATATTTTATTTTTGCTGTGAAAACAAAAAAAGAAAAAGAAAAAACCAAAGGCATAATGGTAGATATAGACAATCTATTCTTAGATATGCATGTGTCAATATTAAATTAAGGTATAAAAATACTATAATTATAATGTTATATAATATTATAAACTTACAATATGATGTATTATTATACAATTAGATCTTTTTATTTAATAATCTATTCATGATATTATATATATTTATTTATTTAACATCATATTATATTTTATTAAATATTATGTAAGATTGTAAACTTATAATTTTACATGACATGATAATTATAATATTACTTAATCAAGGCACATATATTTGATGACCAATAATGGATCATGGATCTTAACCGATAAAATGGTTATTCAGAGCTCCAGTGGTTTTCTCAAAATTCATGAAGCAATCGAAAGAATATTAATGAGTGTGTGACTATCACAAGGCTTTGATGTACCAAATCACAGGGCTTTGTTCAGTAACAATTACCAAATTAGGATGTGAAATTAATTAAAGCAGAAAACTTTAGCATACTGTCAGAATATCAAATACCTAATCAACAATTGGTTAATGCACGTAGAGCATCTGCAAGCTGCAGAGGTAGAAATGAAGAAAAGGTATGTTCCTTTTCTGTTTACCAAGTACTATTCATTTTGTTTCAGACTTTCTGTTTAACTAATAGTACTCATTTGTTACGGATTTTGCGGGGAAAAAGAATGATCCTTCAGTCATCATTTTGTTTCGGATATTGGGGTACTCAGACTTGGCGGGTGGGTCCGTGGGTGTGGAAAATTTTGGAGTATTAAGGTTAAACCCCACTTTGGTCCCTCAACTATTAAACAAACTCATGATTGGTCTCTAAACTAGAAAATCTCTGATTTGGTCTCTATTATTTACTAATTTGCTCTCAAGTTGATCATTCGATTAAAAAATAACTAATGTGTCTATTACTTAATTATAGAAAACCATTATTTAACGATCACGTATCATATTAATAATGAAACATGTCAGTTGTTTTTGTACAGAAAAACCAACTTGACTAATTTGTGATCAAATTGATAAACAGTAAAAACAAAATCAAAAATTTTTTTAGTTTAAAAACCAAATAAAAAATCTGTATAATGGTTGAGGAATCAGATTGAGGGTTTAATCGAATATTAATTGGAGAGTAAGAGCAAATTTGACATCGACAATAATTTGAAATTGTTTTGCATTTTAAAATTATTTTAAAAATATTTTTGAGACTCCCTTACTTAATTTGAAATTATTTTTTTGAATTTTTTAAGAATAAACTCTTTTAATTATAGTATTATCAATTTTATATATAATTAATTTAATATATTTTTGCGCCAATTACCTAAGAGATCTTGAGAACAGTTGATTCCTATTTGCAATCTAAAATTTTAAGAAAAAAGTTAATATATCTTGCACCTAAAATTTTCCCCCTTTTTTTTTTTTTGAATTAAGGGAATTTTGAGAAAAAGGAGAAAGATTACAACTATATTCATAAGAATTTGAAGTTTAACATAACTTAATGTATTTGATACACATTATTAACTTATTAAAAATTGTTAGAGCAAAACTTTTCCCTCTATAGTCCCAGATTTCTTAGGAGAATATGTGAACGGTATATTTGTAAAACTTTTATTTATTATCTTCATTTATCTTTGAATAAATTAATAAATAAAATATTATAAATTGTATTAGAATGAAAATAAAAATTATCATAATAAATTACATATAAAATTATATAAAAAAATTATACATAAAATTATTCCTCTGTCATTTTGCAAGTTCCATTTAAGGCTGAGAATCCTCATATTTTTTTCTTCGGTGTCTCAAATCACCTTGAGTATTCTTTCTTTGAATTCATAGATGATTTGAGGCTGCGATTAAGTAAATGGAGGAAGTGAATGAAATCCATCTGCTTCAGTACTTCATCTATTATTCTTTATGGCTGCTGCTGCCTTTTTATTTCATATCAGTCCATGGTCGGAAATACGATGTCTTTATTAGCTACAGAAGTCAAGATGTTCGCCATAATTTTCTCACTCATCTCCGTTGTGCTTTAAAAAAGGGTGGATTTAGGGTATTCGTAGATGAAAACGATATTCAAAGGGGATGCAATATTGCCGCTGAGCTGCCGAAAGCAATCCAGCAGTCTAGGGTTGCCCTGGTTCTGTTGTCAGAAAACTATGCTGATTCCGGATGGTGCCTAGATGAGCTAGTGACCATCCTTGATTGCAGGGAAAGATTAGGGCAGATTGTTCTGCCCATTTTCTTCCATGTGCGTCCCTTAAATGTCCGCCATCAGAACGGGCGATTTGGAGATGCGTTTGCACGTCTCCATGGGGCTACGGTGGAGGAAATGGAGAAGCGGAAGAATGCACTTTATCTTATAACCGATCTGGCCGGGTTTAATCTAAGAGATGTTAACGGGTAATCTAATGATCTTCTCTTCATCACTTACAATTATTGTTTGAATAAATTCACTCTGTAGTTTCTAAATTCACATATTTTAAAGTAGGATAAATTTACTTAATATATTTATAGTTCAAATTATAAAGATTTAAAATTTTAAAATGTAAGCACCTAAAATTTAACAATACAATCTTATTTGATAATTGGAAATACGTTATCTTTATTTGGAATAATTTATGAAAATAATAAAATTTTAAAATATTTTTTATCTATTTTTTTTTAAATTAGATAATACTAATCTCATATATATATATATATATATCTTTATTGCATTTACCAAGTTTTTTATTTTTATTTCTCTCTGAATACTCAGGGATGAAGCTCAGCTGATTGAGAAAATCATTAAGGATCTTCAAAAAAAATTGTCCGTGAAAACTCTGCTCATTAATTACCTACAAACACTTGGCAGAATCATGCTCAGAATGGGGGATAGGGTGTTTGGATATTCTATACGCTTCGGCTGTCATACTGCATATGCCCTACAGCAGTGGCGGAAGAATTAGGGAGAAGAATTAGGCACAGATCTTCCTGTTTCCCCTAAAAATAGTGAGAAAAAGAGAGGTCAAGGAAAGGAAGCCCTACTTTGGTAGGAGGAGTGTTAGGGGGACTCGCTTCAGCACTCTCCCTTCAGAAATTGCTCCTCTATTTAGCCACGTCACCGATGATTTTAAGGCCGTAACTGGAATCGGTAATTGTAAGTGACCACTTTATTACAATTAAATTAAAATACATATAGTTTTATCAAAAAATATATATATAGTTGTATAATACAATACTCAAATTATATCAATGCCCTCGTAATCGTCTCCTTCCTCCTTCCTCTCGAGAGAACACCTGCAATTTTTTTTTTTCTCCAAAACAGAATCCCTACCATTTAAGTTTGAACTTAGAGCAGTGCTAGGAGCACTCACTCCTGCACTTTCTAACGGGCACTCGCCCTACGATTGACACGTCAATCTCACTTTTAAAGAGATAGATTGGTTACTGATTAAGACTTCCAAAATATATATATTTTTTAAAAAAATTTCCTTTCTGAGCCTTCAGACTGGAGTTTGTCGAGCCACTGTGCTTTGACCGTTGGTTCTTTGGCTTTCCCTTTCCATTTTTTTCTCCATCTTTGGCTTTGTTTCTTCTTCTTAATCTTAACGTTCATTCCCCTCTATACACTTTAGAAGCAAAATCACAATTTTCATAACTCGAAACCTACTTCTTTTTTAATTCCTTGACAATCCATGTTAAAAAAAATTTTTTCCCAGTCACCGACCCAAAGCCATAAACAAGACTGAACTTCCCCTTCCCTACCATCCATATAAAACTTCAGATTACCATGACAAGTGATCTTACTATTCATCACCTAAATCTAGCATTTAGTTTCTCATAGAACAATACAAAGGCGAAATCATTTGTATCAATTACGAAAATTAAAACGACAAAAATAGTCACGATTGCGAAGAACAATCAATGCCCACAAGTCGCCTGGTTACTTCACCACTTTCTGCCACACTGGGATTATTCAGGCAACCATAGAGTTTGTGGGTTGTTTCTTCTCTAATTTTTTTTTTTTTTATAAGGAAAACGATTAGTAGATTAAAATTGTTAAATATTAATAATTGAAGATTCAATCCCAACTCAGATAAATAGCCCACCTGCTTCAAAGAGACACACAGCCATAAGAACATTTGGTAGAGTTCTTTCTTATCTAAGATGAGAGGAAAAAAGGGAATGAAAAGGGTTCTTTACGATGACTAATGAAGAGAGAGAATTAAGATAGGCTCTACCGGTATTTACCAGTCGCCAGTTTATAAATTTAATTTTTCAATTGGGTTAAAGTCAATTGTCATCCCTCTACTTTCAAATTTTGTTCATAACCGTCCCTCTACTACAGATTTGTTCATTGTTGTCCCTCTACGCCCTTTATTTTGTTCATTGTCGTCCTTTTCTTGGTGCCGTTTCTACATCCATTAATTTGGACCGTATGGTAAGTAATTAAAACTATTTTTTATTATTTTTTTGCCACATGGGTTGTAAACTAAGGTTTTAGTTGTGGCTATGGTTTTATATTTTGGTTTTAAATCAGATCTCTTTTTTCAGTAGTTTCTATTATTTTAATCCTTGTTTTTTTATCAAAACGTCCACCACTTTCGGTACCAATCTGCACCCATCAAAAAATTCATGATATAAAAAATCTTTTTCTCTATTTATATATTAATTAAAATTAAAAAAAAATTATAAATTAGGAAAATAAAAAACAACTAAAAAGGTGAAGAACTGTATTTTGATTATCTATGCATGGAAATATAAAAAATGTTTTTTTAATTTGTTTAAGGATACAAATTAAGAACAATTTTTGTCATAAATATATTCTTTTTTCATTTATTTTTAGTAAATTTAATTTGACTTTTAAATTTTTTTAATATGAATTTTAAATGAATATTTAACAATTGAAAAAATTTTTCTTCCTACATGAAATTTTTATTGGGTGCTTTTATTTGATAAAAAAATTTAATTATAATTTATACAATACGTTAAATTTTTATTTGAAATTCATATTTGAAAAATCAAAAAGTTAAATTAGATTTACTAAAAATAAATGAAAAGAGTAAAAAAAAATTGACATTAATTTTAGTGTTAGTGCCAAGTGTATGAATTTAATTAAACAATAAATAAATTAAATATCAAATTTTATATTTTTAATACAAATTAATAACAAAAATACGTATTTATACACTCTTAACATGTTTTCTTAATAACCCCAATTTGAAAACATGTTAAGAATGTATAAATATGCATTTTTGTTATTACTTTATAGTAAAAATATAAAATTTAACCTTTAATTTATTAATTATCTAATTGAATTCATACACATGGCATTAACATTTAATTTTTATATTTTTACTCTTTTGGTTCATTTTTAGTAAACCTAATTTAAGTTTTTGACTTTTTAAATATAAATTTTAGATAAAATTTTACATATTATTTTAAATAATATTAAAATTTTTTTGATCAAATAGAAGTATCCAATAAAAATTTTATATAAGAAGAAAAAACTTTTCCATTGTTATTCATATAAATTATTAAATTTTCATTTAAAATTTATATTCACAAAGTTAAAAAGTCAAATTAAGTTAACTTAAAATGAACAAATATATATATATATATTTATGAAAAAAAGGTATTCTTAACTTGTATTTTTAGACAAATTAAAAAAACAATTTTTTATATTTCCATGCACAGATAATCAAGATACAAGTCTTCACCTTTTCAGCTTTTTTTTATTATTTTCCAAATTTACAGTTATTTTTTTGTTTGATTTTAATTAATATGTAGAATCGGGTCTTCAGGCCCAATGGTTCGATCTCAAACCTTAAGTGCTTGGGTGAGGTGGTCGGAGTTTCGAACTCTACCACCGTTGTGAACTCTATCAAAAAGTGGCTTAATGACCGCGCGCTTCATTTGAAGGGGTGGAATGTTCACCCGGTCTGGAGATCGAATCCCGGTTGCTAACAACTAATTTATACTAACTTTCTAATCATTACCCTTGTTAAAAAAAAATAATAATATGTAAAGAGAAAAAAGGGTTTTTTATCTCATGAATTTTTTTATGGGTGCAGATTTGCGCAGAAGGCGGTGAACGCTTGATATAAAAAAATAAAAAATAAAAAGGTTAAACGTCTATTTTGGTCCCTCAACTATTGTAAGGACCCCAATTTAGTCTTTTAACTCAAAAAATCTTTAATTTGGTCCCTACTGTTTACCATTTTAACTCCAACTTAGTCCTTCCATTAAAAATCCACCTACATGTCCCGTTATTTAATAGAAACATGATGATATGTCAAACTATTAAGTCCACGTGAAAAGATAACATGGCAAAAAATTAATGACATGGCAATTAAAACTTAAAAAATTCTCTTTTTTCATCCTCTTTCCTTTTCTCCTTCCTCTTCCTTGCCTTGTCTTCTTCATAAATCATTCTTCATCTTCATCAATCAATTCTTCTTCATCATCAAACAACAATACCCACAAAAAAAAAAAAAAACACAAAATCATTTTTATTTTTTGCCCCTGGGTTCAAAAGAACCCAATGCCTGTTGGGTTCAAAGTCATTCTTCATCTTCATCAATCAATTCTTCTTCTTCTTCAAACAACAATACCCACAAAAAAAAAAAAAAAACACAAAATCATTTTTATTTTTTACCCCTAGGTTTGAAAGAACCTAGCGTGCTAGGTTCCATCGAATCCAGGCATGTTGGGTTCAATCGAACCCAGATCTAGTGTTGGGGAAGGGAGAGAGAAAATGAAGCCTACCAAAGGAAGAAGATGAACAACTAAAGAGGCTGGAGATGAAAAGGAAGAGGTAATGAAAGGAGAAAGGAAAGAAATTGATGTGTGATTGAAGAAGAGGGTAAAAGAGTAATTTTAATTTTATAATTAGTTTAAAATATTTTAATTTTTAATTGGAAATTTCATGTTAAAACTTAGTTGTCATATTGTCAATCCTACGTGTCAAACTATTTTTACACGTCATCTTTTTTTTTTTTTTTGGTATTAACCTCCCGGTATCCGGTAACAATATTGGGTCTCGACAAATTCAGAATTGAGCTGCGTCGGACCCCATTAGGAGAGAAACTCTCCTAGAGTCTGTTTCTCCATTTACAAGACTTAAACTCGAGATCTTGCTTAAGGGAAATCAAACTCCTTCCACTCGAACCAACAGGTCGTTGGTTACACGCCATCTTTTTATGTCAAGTACTAGGACATGCAGCGGAAAATTTAACAAAAGGACCAAGTTGGGGTTAAAATAGTAAACAGTAAGGACCAAATCAAGGATTTTTTTAGTTGAGAGACTAAATCGGGTAACGTACAATAGTTGAGGGACCAAAATGGGAGTTTAACCTAAAAGAACAAGGGTTAAAGTAATACAAACAACTAAAAAGGGAGATTTGATTTAAAACTAAAACATAAAACCATGGGCCCCAATTAAACCTCAAGTTCGCAGCACATGTGGCCAAACAAATAAACAATAGTTTTAACTACTAACCATAATGCAACTAATGGTCCAAATTAATGGACGTAGAAACGGCATCAAGAAAAGGACAACAATGAACAAGATACAGGGAGTAGAGGGACAACATTTGGTGCGATTTGGGAGTAGAGGGACAACAATGAACAAATCTGTAGTAGGGGGATGGTTATGAACAAAATTTGAAAATAGAGGGATGACAATTGACTTTAACCCTCTGAGGGTGTAAACAAGTTGCCCGTCAAAGATAGAAAGGTATGAGTGATGTGGCAAAACAAGGGAGAGGGTGTTGAAATGGAGAGTGCTGGAGCGAGTGCTCCTAGCACTCCTCCTTGAGCAGTGCTAGCTGCATTTGCTTTAACACTCGCTAATTGACACCCACCCTCTCATTTTGCCACCTCACTTCTGCTTTTGAAAGATACACCGGAAACAAACCTCAACAAGTTACTCCTTGTTGCTGATCTATACCCTATACGCCTTTAAATCCCAAAACCTAACCATTTTTCAACAATCATTTTTTTAAATGAAAATGAAAACGAAACTATATCACCATAGTCAAGGGAATCAAGCAAATAAAGATATATTTTGATAACAATAATTTTTTTAGTATTAATTTTGTTCAGGAACTGTGAGCTTTGAACATTGTCTTAAGCAACATTGTCTTAAGCAACATGTCTGAATCAAACAAGGACACCGATTATGGATCATGAAGAGAATGTAAAATCAACACCAGGGGAAAAGTTAGAGATATTTTAGTACCTTCCATGATGCGGGGCTGCTTCACAGAGGAAAATGGCTTCCATAACAATAGCTGTAATGACTATGGAAATGGGTTGCTGAGATCCACCATGTTTGCACTGTCAGCTGCTTCGTGCATCAGCGTCTCTAAGCTTAAAAGTTAAATAATAATAGTTTAAATCACTGGCCCATTTTAGGAAAGCAGCCGAATGTATGGTGCTACTTTACTTCTCTCTGGGAATTGATTACATGGTGGAAGCTCTGCCTCCGAACGGCAAAGGGTTTGTCATCTGAATAATCGAAGCCAAGCTTCCAGAGCAATGCCATGGGTGTGCACAGGAGTTGCATAATCAGAGTTGCAGTTTCTCGCTTTGCTCAAAGAAATCGTGGGTTCAACCATGGCGGGGACTGGACTAGAGGAGGCGCGCGTTGGAGGAAGGAGACAGATAGGGACAGAACAGGAAGAAAGACCGCAGATTGGGCTTGGGCTGTACTGATGTTTTTTTGTGACGTTCAGACCTCAGAGCATTGTCCACTTTGGACTCGTTGCCACTTGCCACCTAAAAAACAAAAGAACCTAATAGTTTTGGGCCTAAAATGTCGACTGGAGAGAAAGTACTGGGCCGAATGGATGAATATTCAATATTGATTTGGTTAACGGCCCACTCCAAAAATAAATAAATAGAAGTTTTCCGCTTATGTCTTAATTAATGATAAATTTATTATATATTTTTATCATTAATTTATATAAAAATAAAAATTAATTTTAATTTTATCAATTGTATAATTAAATTGTTACATGTGATATTAGTGTTGAAAATAAAATTTACTTTTATAATTTTTTATATAAATTAATGATAAAAATATATAATATATAATAAATGTACTCAAATTATAAGTTTAAAAAATCACAAATAAATTTTATCGAGGAGAAAAAATGGAGAAAAGTGTAGGGCTACCGGCCCTTTTTGTCAAATTACTACGACTTCTGAATGTTACTATTTCAATCCTTTTCCATACCATCCAAGAATGAAAAAGGAAAAATGGAAGAAAACGCAGCAGGGGATTCAGGAGGAGACAAATTTGAAATTTCGCTTGGTTTGGTATATCCGCTGAATGGACCTACAAGGTTTAATCAAACATGAAAGTACTGTAGTATTAACATAACATATCCCATACAAAACAATTAATTTAAAATATTTTCTCACCGTAATCAACTGATTCCTTTTGTAGGAATAAAACATGTGATTTAGGTAATCAATGACAATAATTAAGAGAAACATATATGTATTAAAGAATTACAAACAAAAATAATAATAAACAAATCCCAAATAATAATTATGAGGGATGATATAATATTTTAAGTTTACAATCCTGTAAAATTGGATGGCAAAACTAAAAGAGAAGAGGCACAGCGGCTGCATAGGCATCTTCCTTTCTGTTGTCGCCAGCGCTTTCCTGGGTCGAGCTATTTTGAACGGCAGGCAAGCCCGAAAATGATTGCAAATATGAAGGTAAAAACCGGTGAGAGGTTGCTGATGACAGAAGCAAGCCTTATGTTTTTTTTTTTTTTTTAACTGTTTTTTCATAGCTTGATTGACTGTTTTAACTTTAGAACATATACAATATTTAGAACACACTTAAACTCTATATTAGTATCAGGTTCTTGCTATTTTCTTGCATTGATTTTTCTGCTATCTTCAACCTCATTGCTTTGTAACGAAGGTAACTGATCTTCTGATGAGGTTACTAAGTTAGAGTTGTCTATCATTGCTTCTTCCTTTGCTTTTCCCCACATCACAGCATAAAACCCAATAAACAGGATTGTTGCTCCAATCACACTGCAACATCAACATCAAACAAAATTAACCAATTATTGATCATGAAGATTTGGAAGCATACAAGGGCAAAAGAAATTTTAGAACCTTCCAAGGTACAATGGTTCGCCAAGAAAAATGGTGCTCATGAAAGCCGCGATTGCAATTGAAAATGGCTTGAAAACTGCTACGTAGACAGGCCCCTTTATGTGCACTCCCCATGTATGCACAAAATTGCTGAAGGATGTAGCAAAGCCCTAAACAGAAAAGAAAGTGTACTCATTTAGAACCTTAGCAAGTCATCATTTTCTTGTATACATTCCTACCGAGTATATGACTGCAACAACTGCGACACTTGGTTCTAGTCTCCAGGAACTCAGGTCTGATTCTGCTAGTAGGCATACCGGTAGTGATATAAGGTTTGTACACAAGTTATAGAAGAAGACAACATTGAGCTCTGCCGGATACATCTTCATAAGACTAGTCTGCAAAGTGGCAAGTCATTCAAGCTCAAGCTTAATTTCTCTGAAACTGTCTGATTTTATTAAAAAATTAAAGTTTTGTATGTTTACCTGAACTATGTACCAGATGGAAACAAAAAGATACTCAAGAGAAAGCAAGAGTCCACCAATGATCCAATTTGATTCTGATGACCCCAGAGACAATTGTAGTGAAACAGATGATGCAGAGGGAAAAACTGTTGGGCCCTTGTAGAGAACAATCACTAAGGCACCTGATATTGAGACTATAGTCCCAGTGATTTTTGCCTGAGAAATTGTGCTTCTCAGTACTACTCTTTCCATTCTTTATTCATGGCATCCAAAGAAAATTCCTTATCGCAGTCAGTCAGTTACAATATGGAGAAAAATAAAGAATTTCTGCATGAATTATGATTACATGAACATTATCAAATCCATTCTCCCATTTTTGGATGCATATATAAACAAACAAGAAATGTTGATATATAGTAAATAGACATTGATGATGAAAATTGAAAAATAAATTCTGCATTGTTGAATGAAGATAACTTTACCGTGAGGTGTCGGGATGGAAATGAATTTGAAAAGAGTGACATGAAAAAGGGGAAAAGAAAGAAACCTGAAAATGATGGCAAGAATGAAAGTGAAAACAGGGGTGAGGTTGCTCATGGCAGAAGCAAGAGTCGGCGAGCTATATTGTATGCCTTGATAGCCACATATTAAGGATAAAAACCTGCATCCCAAGAAAATAAAACAATCTTAGTTTTTTCATTCCTTAGGAGAGAAGCCATAAGAGTTGTAAGCATACCCAAGCAGACCAAGGAAAAAGATTCATGAGAAAAGAGGTAATTTGAATGAAGGAAGCGCTGCGGAGCTGCATACGGATATCAAACATTAAGGAAGATATTAGCCCATTTTGGTCAATCTCGGAAAGAAATGATGATGAATGGAGATCAAAAACAGACCTGGGGAAGATGAAAAGTAAAGGGAAAAGAAGAAGTGTGGCAGTTGCACAAGCATAGGGGATGAAGACATAGTAACTCATCCCCTTCAAATTAGCAGCTTTAAATAGAATGTTTAAGCCTACAACGGCGCACTCCACCATAACCATGGCAGTGAATGGCAGCACTTCCTTGTAGAAATAATTCCCTTCCATCTCTGTCTCTGACTCCCTTCTCCTCTAGGATCAAAACACAACTTTCTTCACCAAAATATATCTTTATGAATCAGAGGGAAGAAAAGTCCGTAGATTTGGGAGCCAATCATTTGTGAAGAACAAAGGGAAAATGCTTGTATTTTGCGGGGAATAATCAAAAGAAAATGAGACTTTAGCAGCCCAAAACACTCTTCTTCTTTTTTCAAACAATAGAATTGAAGAAAAAGACAATTCATCATGGTCAGATGCCCATTTTTTTGTCTTTACTTAATAAACTATAGTGGGGTTGTTAACCTCTAATTATGATCAAGAGTCATATTGATATTGGGAGAATGAGAGGGACTGAATTTTTTTTTTTTTTTTTATACAAGGTAATTAGAAGGGGGATTAGGAATACCATTGCTTATGATAGAATTCAGGACTTACTCAAGTAGACATGCGAATCCTTAAAGGTTGGTTGGTGAACCACTTCGGATCTTTAGAATCTATATCTTTAATAATTTACCAAAAACAAAAAACGTACCTTACTAAGTAAGCTACAAATTTGAGGGTGGAATTGAAAAGTTTTATTTTTCCTTCCTTCCCTCCTTCCTTTCATTTCCTTCAATTTGAAATATGCATGCCATTAATTTTTTCTAGTAAGATAATGGTTAGTCTAATAGTACATTTGATGATGAGTTATAGCTAAACAACAAGAAATAACAATATCTTTTCCCAAAAGTCCTCCCCACCCAGCTTAATATTCAAACTTAAGACCACAAATAAAGTTGGCCAAGACTTTGATTAATCACTGAAATACCCCTAAAGGACATTAATCTAATGGCTTTCAACTCCAAAGAACCGTCTTTTTTGTGTTTTTTACAGCTACATTATTTACTGGCCTTTCTTTTTAAATCAAGTTTCAAACTTAGAGTTTATGTAAACAATGAGCCAACACACTTTCATGAACTTTTTGTTTCCCAATACATGTCTTCAACTTTTACAGCTTTGCAACAAAGGAACCTGTTCATGGGACAACGGTGCCAAGCCCCTAAATCCAGAGTCATCAATTCTTTCTTCTCTTGCTTTCCCCCAAATCACAGCATAAAACCCAAGAAATAGTATTGTTGCTCCAATCACACTGCAATATTATTAAACAAAATTTACCATCATTGATGATGAAGATATAGAACCATAGAGCAAATTTAGAGGATAGCAATTTTTAGTACGTCCCAAGATGCAATGCTTCGCCAAGAAAAATGGAGCCTATGATTGCTGCAATAGCAATTGAAACTGGCTTGAAAACCGCTATGTAGACAGGCCCCCTTTTGTGTAAGCCCCATGTATGCACAAAATTTCTGAAGGATGAAGCAAACCCTTAAACAGATAGAAAGTGGACACATTTACAACCTTAATAGCAAGCCATTTGCTTGTATTCAATCGTTACATTCCTACCTAGTAAATGACTGCAACAACTGCTACACTTGGTCTTAATCTCCAGGAACTCAAGTTTGATTCTGCTAGTAGGCATAGTGGTAGTTATACAAAGGTTGCACATAAGTTGTAGAAGAAGACTACAGTGAGCTCTGCTGGGTAGATCTTCATAACATTGGTCTGTAAAGTGTTATGTCATTCAAGCTTAATTTCTCTGAAATTTACTGATTCATAAAAAATCGAAAGTTTTTTATGTTTACCTGAACTATGTACGATATGGAAGAAAGAAGATAATGAAAAGAAAGCAAGAGGCCGCCGATGATCCAATTTGGTTGTCATGACTCCAGAAGTGAAACAGATGATGCAGAGGGAAAAACTGTTGGGCCCTTACAGAGAACAATCACAAGGCACCTGATATTGAGACTATAGTCCCAATGATTTTTGCTTGAGTTCTTGTGCTTCTCAATGCTACTCTTTCCATGCTTTATTCATGGCATCCAAGAAAAGGGAAGGAAATAATCTCTAAATAAAACCTCTTATTTCAACCAATCAATTACAATAGAATTTCTACATGAATCATGATGTCATGAAAAAATGCATAAGCGAACAAATCAGAAAAGTTGAATGAAAAGGATAATTTCTTTCGAGGTGCATGGCTGCAAATGAAGTTGACAAGAGTGACTCGAAAAGGGGGACAAGAAAGAAACCTGAAATAATGGCAAGAATGAAAGTGAAAGCAGGGTTGAGGTTGCTGAGGGCAGACGCAAGAGTCGGCGAGCTATATTCTATGCCTTTATATCCACATATTTGAGATAAAAACCTGCATCCCCAGAAGACAAAACAATCTTAGCTTTTTTCATTTCTTAGGAGAGAAACAAAGAGAGCTTTATTTGCACATGCATACCCAATTAGTACAAGGAAGCAGATCCGGAATAAGAGGTAACTTGTATGAAGGAAGCACTGCTGAGCTGCATATGGATGGTGTTAGCCATTTGGCAGCAAAGAACTGGTGACAAATTAAGATCAAAATTCAAAAATAGACCTGGGGAAGATGAAGAGTAAAGGGAAGATAAGAAGTGCGGCAATTGCATAAGTATAGGTGACGAAGACATAGTAGCTCATCCCCTTCAAAGTGGCTGCTTTGAATAGAGTGGTTTTGCCTACATTAGTGCACTCCACAGTAATCATGGCCGTGAATGGCAGCACCTTCTTGTAGAAATGGTTCCGTGTCATCTCTGTCTCTTCTTCCCTCTTCCTCTACAAGCAGAACAAAACTTTCTTCACCAATTCCACTCTATTGTGTTTAGAAAATATTGTATTTTCCAGGGAATCAGAAGAAAAAAAAGACTTTAGCACAAAACACTAAACTTTTTCAAATATATCAAACAACAACTAAAAAGAGATGACAGTGCATCACTGTCAGATGCCCATTGTCTGTCTCATAGTTAATAAATTGTTAGCCCCTATTATATTCCAAAAACAAACGGTACAAAAATTAAGCCGAATAGTTTATTATAAGTGTTTTTAAACTTTTTTAAATTAAATTATTATTTTCAACTTTGGATTAGAAGTGTTTGTAGCTTTAGAATTGTAGAGTTTTTGTTGTTTCTATATGAATTTGTCAGCATTTAGGTAAAACTCTGCTTAAACATTGTTCAAGCAGAATTTGTCAAGGTTGAATTTAATGAGTTGACTGCACTTCCGATTAAGGTCGTGTCTTGAGATTACCTACAAAGCGTAAGGTTGGTATCTCTGGTAGAACAAATAGAATTACTACAAAAACAGCAGCCAAACCAAATATACTCTCAGACGATGAAATGGAACTGTAACTATAGGAGACGCACAAAATGTGGAAGATTACTTGGAGGTAATATTCTAAAATCCTCAAAAATGAAAATGGTTGGAGGTTAACCTGTCCCATGTCTGAGAGTTTGGGACCTAAAGGACATTTATTTTTATCCTATTTTTAAGTTGCTTTCTTCTCACCGTCGCACCCCCAAAATTCATCCAATGGCCGCCCGACCGAAGCACGCCTCACCGCTCACATCTCCTCCAATGGCCCCCAAAGCACGCTTACCAGTCCCTCGGATAGTCGCTTGGCTGACGCGACACTGCATTTCAAAGGGGAACAGGATCTCTGGCTGACAATCACAATTTTTGCTACTTAACGTCACAACGCAATTTTTCATCCAGTCATTTAAATTTTTTATAGAAAAACATATAAAAAACACAAAATCAAAATTAATCAAACTTTTAAAATATCAAAACAAACACAAAAACATAAAAACATGAATTTTTCTCTTTTCTTTAACTAATATATCTTTACTTTTGTTTCAAGTTCAACATGCAAAAAGAAAATTTTGTGAAGAGATTCAAAAGGGGATTCAAGGACTTAATAGAAGAAATTAGAAGTTGGGGGGGTTAAATTATATTAACAAACTTAAAACCCGATCCATTTACAAACTCAACTCAGCGGTCCACAAAATGGCCCAACTTCATGGAAAAATCAACCCAATTCCATATACCAGCCCATCAAAACCCAAAACCAAGAATAAAAGCCCAAGCTCCCTTTGATTTTACAGCGGCCAGAACGGGTAGACCGCAGACCAAAAAGAAAGAGCAAAGCTCTAGATCCTTCTGCCTTCAAGATGTCTTAAATAAAAAAACAGAAGTTAATAGTTGATTTTGAAGAAAGATTAGTACTGGCTGGTTTCTCTTGGTCCAACTTTCTTTAGATATATGTGGTTTTTAGCAGGCTTATCCTACCATCTACTAACGCTCATGGTTTTTCAAAAGCTAGTTTTGTCGTTTTATACGGACAAGTAATCTAGAAGAGAAGTCAGGGATCTTTCTCAAAACTAATTATGGCTGGATGACTGGAAAAATTATTTATATATTTGTGTACTGGAATTCATATTTTTAATCTTTGAATTTTTCAGGAGGAGAAAACTAGAGGAAAAGTGGTTGAATTCCATCCAAGTATTTTCATGCTAGGGTTCTCTCCATCTGACTACGTCCTCCGTGCAATTTCAAATGTTAACACCAATGATCTTGAGCAGACATTAGTGGTAAGTAAGCAGTACATGTGCACATACATTTTTGGTTTGGTCTTTCTTCATAGCTGCTATATTTATCCTGATATTCCATTCAACCTAAAAAGAAATACACTCAATAGGAAGTAATTCTACTATCAATTAAACAGATAAATCTGATCACCTGAAGCAGTTCCTCTTTGACTATGAACCTTTTCTTAAGGAAAATGAATCATGCAAGATTATTTAGATTTAGATCCCCTTTACCATAGAAGTTATTTGTTTATGTGGAGAGGAAAGAAAGGGAGGAAAAGTGAAGCAAAGGAAAAAGTTAATATTAGTTTTGTTTGGATAAATAAAAGTGGATTGAGTGGAAATGATAATATTTTTATTTAATTTAATAATTTAATAAAAATAAAATCAATAAAAATAAAATTTTTAAAATTTATTAATTAAATATATAATTGAAATAAGATGTTTATATATTATTTTTTTAAAAGTTAAAAATAAAAAATAAATTAAGTAATGTAATCATTTTAGTCTTCCCAGATTAAAAGGATTAAAAAGAGAGGAGGAAAGGGGCTCAGTCTTCCTTCTCTCCATTAAAATTATTTATCTAAACAACTGTAGGTACTCTCTTTCCTCACTCTTCTTTTCCTCCCCTTACTCTTCTTTCCTTCCCCTCCAACTTCTCCTATCCAAAGAGAACGTAATTATGTTTAATTTGAGTGATCACGTTATGAGAAAAGAATCAATGATCTTTATTTTAATGTTAACTTTGTCCAAAACTTTATGTAATCAAGCAATTTAGTCTTGGAAATATTAAATCTTTTCAAATCAGTCCTCCATATTTCAAATTTAATCAAATCAATTCCTCCACTTTGAATTGGTAGCAATTGTGCATGCATGTTCTTGAATTTGTTTTAATTTAGTCCTAGTATTTTCAAGCTTTGCAATTTCATCCATTTACTTTTCAAGTCCACTTAATTAAAAAAAGGTTGAATAAATTCCCAAATGTTAAAATATGCAATCATATTTTACACGAGGATTGGAAGGTAAGCATATGTCATTTCTCCACCTTTACAGTCCCCTTGAACCCTAATCTCTATGCTGATCATATTTTAAGTGATTTGTCCCACTTTATACTTTGAACAAGTGGTGACTCTTTTCTTTTTTCAATTTTTTACACTTAATTTTTCATATTTTTGAAAATTTTAGGAGGTCACCAACACCTAATGAATTGATCATTCTTCCTTCATGGACTCTGCATCTGCTTCTACTTCTTCTCCATCAGTGCCTTGTCAAAAGTACGACGTATACTTGAGCTTCCGAGGTGAAGACGTCCACAAGAATTTCCTAGGTCATCTCTATTCTACTTTAAACCAGGAAGGATTCAAAACCAATAAAGATGACAACGAGCTCACAAAGGGATGCAACATTGCACCTAGCCTACTAGAAGCAATTGAGCAGTCTAGGATTGCAATTATCGTATTCTCCAAAAAATATGCTGATTCTACATGGTGCTTGGATGAGCTCGTCAAGATCCTCAAATGCAGGGATAAGTTGGGGCAGATTGTTCTACCCATCTTCTTCCATGTGGATCCTTCACACGTCCGCAATCAGAGAGGGAGCTTTGGCAAAGCATTTTGCGTCACAAGAAGGTTACTGTGGAGAAAGTGGATAGGTGGAAAACTACTCTTACCAATGCTACGAATGTGGCCAGGTTTGATCTACAAAGTGCGAACGGGTAATCATTCATCTATTGTTTTTTTTTTTTTTTGAACAATTTTACAAATAAGTTAAATACCCAATTTGGTCCCTCAACTTTCAATTTTGGACCAAGTTCTCATCCCTGAACTTACTAGATTATCGAATTTGTCCTTAAACTTTGTTTTTTTGCTGCCAACTTGGTCCTTCCGTCGACGGAAGTGTCCAGTTGGCATGTTAACATGCCATGAATTTATATTTTTGAAATTCAAAGAATTACATGTAAAAAAAAACCAATGTCATATTGATGATTTGACAACTTTCACGTATAATCCCCATTTCCACATGTAAAATTGAAGAAGTTAGTTTCAAACTTGGTCATCTAGGTAAATAATTACATAATTAAATAATATCAATTAGTTGTAACATATATAATTAAACAATTATCATTTTACAATGTTAATTTAAGGAAAATTAACAAAATTAAAGAACAAATTCATTTTCCCTTGAATTTTCTCTACAACCAAACATCTAGGCTACCCAAAAAATTTGCAAAAGAAATTCATCTCCTTCAATCCAATTCCATCTGCATGAAATCTAAAGCTTAACTTCAACAATTCAATAAAAACCCCATAAACCAATTGGAATTTTTTTCCCATGATTTTCTCACCAACCAAACAAATATCCAAATAAACATACCACAAAACAAGAAAATTTTCATTCAAATTCTCCCAGATTTACCATGAAATCTAAATTTTTTTCTCAAGATTTTCTCACCATGATTTTTCCTCCAACCAAACAAATACCCAGATCATGGATCATATGCAAAGCTCCATCACAAAGCTTCACACCATCACCATTGTTGTTGCTAGCCTCCATGAATTATAGATCGCTGCTCATCCAAATTGGAGCCATACCTTTTAGATCGACATCATTTATCGACGTTTGTTGCTTCGCACCCGCTTGTGATGCCTTGGTTTTGATCAATCAGGAATTTCAAGTCCTTATGCCTAATGAAGATGAACCCATTCCCTAAATCAAACTCATCAAAAATTTTGGGTTCTACAATAAATCCAAATCTGAGTGCTGCAACCACCCTAGCCACAAAATCTCTACAACCCCAAATCCAATCTAGGTTAGAACCCTAGATTTGATCTGGGTTGAATCCCCAATCCCAATATGGGTTCTAAATCCCAACTAGAAAAGAAAAGAAAAAGAAAGGAAAGAAAAGGGAAATGAGGAAGGAGGAAGGAGGAGAGTGGAGAGCAGAGAGAAAAATGAGAATGAGAAAGAATGTTGTCATTGGTATTGGTGTCGATGTCAATGTTGGAGAACAGGGAAAAGAACAAAAATGGCAAAGGGATGGGAGCTGAAGTTAAGGGGAGGATTAATATTGTAATTGCATATTTTAAAATTTTAAAAAATTGCCAAAACATCATTTTTTTCGACGTAATTTTTCTGGAATAAAATTATTAATTTGTGTCATGTTAATTTGCTAGCTGGGCACTTCCGTCAATGAAAGGACCAAGTTGGCAGTGAAAAAATAAAGTTTAAGGACAAATTCGATAATTTGGTAAGTTTAAGGATGAACTTGGTCCAAAACTGAAAGTTGTGGAACTAAATTGGGTATTTATTATTTAACCTTACAAAGATACCTACTGGGGATGGGGAAGGCGGTCCTTGGTAATCGAACATCTGATCTAGGGTAATGTTCCATTAAAGGATGAGTGACAAATCACTTGGTCCAAGCAACATAATCATTCATCTATTCTTAATTGCTTTTAAAAAATTCATCTATTCTTAATCACATAATAGCACAAAGTCAAACATATAATGAAATGTCATTACTATAAATATATAATAGCATGTAATATTATAATTATATTATTTTTAAATTTATTTAAATAAGTTTTTTTTTTTTTGAAATTAGCAAATCAACCCCAAAATATATATCATTGGCGAATATGCTTATGAACTTATAAATAACAGAAAATAAGGCAAAAATCAACGGAATAGACTTCAAAAATATTGTGAAAAGTTTTCTTTTAATTTTTGTCTCAAGTAAGAAAATATGATTTAAATAGAGTCCGATTCTACAAATAAATACCGATGCTATTTACAAGTCTGTTTTCCCATGGGTTTTGTCTATTTTGGAGATACAGCTATGTTAAGGGTGGATATGGGACACCAAAGTTTCATTAAGGGTTAAATGGGCTGCAGAAAATATTTTGAGGGACTAGTTTGCCTATTTTTTTATTTTTTTATTTTTCGTTTCCAAATTCTCATTTCTTAAGTACTCAATGATCATAGACAAGAGTTGAGTTGAGTTGACATATAGTTATGCTAATCCAACAATGATTAATTATCCAACCCCACTTAATCTATAAACTATGCTAATTTTTTTTTTTCATTAAATTGACATTGTGAGCCTACAGTTTCTTACTGATTTAGTGGAGGTAGCATATAGCACTGAGACCGGTAAAATACCTGCCAAAACATCTTCAAGTAGACTTAGTTTGATATCTATCTTGTGTTTTCCAACATTAATTTTAATCCTTCTCACAACAACCAGGGATGAGTCCGAGTTGATCAAGAGAATTTTTGAAGATGTTTGGAAAAAACTGCATCCCATTTTACTTAGTGATGCGAACCATCTTTTTGGGATTGAGTTTCCAGTAAAGAATATAATATCACTCTTATGTACCAATAAAAAACGGAATATAATATCACTCTTGAGACTTGGCTCCAAAGATGTTCGTTTCATAGGAATCTATGGAATGACTGGAATAGGAAAGACAACAATTGTCAAGGTAATTAAGAATAGAATTCTTTCGGAATTTGATGGTAACTGCTTGCTTGAAGACGTGCAGCTAGGATCAAAACATGGTGGACTGGTTGGGTTACAAAAGAAACTCCTATGTGACATCTTAAGAGTCCGAACCTTGCATCTAAGTGATATTGATGATGGAATTGATAAGATTAGACGTAGACTAAGGAACAAAAAGGTTCTTATCATCCTCGACAATGTCGACAATTTCAGACAACTCGATGCTCTTGCTAAAGAGAGAAGTTGGTTTGGCAATGGTAGTAGAATCATAGTAATATGTAGAGATGAACATTTGCTAAACGCCCATGGAATGGATGCCAAGTATGAGGTCCCGAGTTTAAACTTTCATTATGCTAGGCGGCTCTTTTCTTGGTATGCCTTCAGACAACTTAGTCCACTGAATGATTATGCAGACTGTTTTCATGAGATCGTGAGATATGGTGGAGGACATCCATTAGCTCTTAAAGTTCTGGGTTCTTTCTTATCTAACAAATCTCCACCTGAGTGGACTGCCGCATTGGAGCAACTCAAAAGTACACTCCATGGAGAGATGCTGAAATACCTTGAGGTAAGCACCAAATTGCCTTAGCTTAGTGTCCAGTCAACAATTACCTTTTTAAGTAGTACATAGGTTGTCATGCAACATTTTTAATGCTTTTTGTTATCAGCGTACAGACAGCCATTAACCTTAGATTAAGGGAGATACCATTTAGTACTGAAGCACTTGCAAGGAAGAACATAGCAAGAGTACCCCAATTTAGGGCCCTGTGATTCAGCAGTTAAAATTCAGCATGTAACAGATGACTGTTATTAGTAGTAGGTGGCAGTTAGCATATAGTATATGGTAACTAGTGGATATTGAATAATAAATAATAAAAGGTAAGTAATGAATGTTAATTGATATAATTATTTGGTTATACAATGATTAATAATTTATATTTAATATTAAATGATTAATAAAGATATGTTAGCAAACAATAGATAATAATTAGTAGATAGTAAATAACAGACAGTGAAAAATTAACAACGAATGTTGATTGATATAACTGTTTAATTATATAATTATTAGTGATTACTTTTTTATATTAAATGATTAATAAAAATATATTTAAAAGTAATTAAGTGTATTTTTTATATTTTTATTATTAAAATTATTAATTTTATAAAAAATAACAAAAAATAAATAAAATAAAATAAAATATATAAATATGAATGACACATTTATTTATACTTTTAATAAAAAAAATTATATTATTTTTAAATAAAATCATAACAAACTTTAATTATTCTATTTAATTAACAAATTTTATCCATTAAACTAATATAAATTTTTTCTATGAGTTGATTGAACGTCAGATTAAGATGCTTGCTGGACGTTACCTACTTTTACGCGAGTTTGGTGGCTCTGCTCCAACAAATAGAATTAATACTGAATATCAATACTTATTAATATTTATCAATATTTATTTATTAAATTTTATTGTCTTTAAGAATTAAGACCCAAAGCCTGGAGAAAGACCGCAAGAAGTAATGAAAATTTTAATCAACTATAGGTAATCATTACTACTTATCATCAATACTGCTAAGTGCTAATCAATTCACTATTAATCATCAAAATTATCAATACTAGTAATTAAGTTTTATTACTTTTAAAGGACATTATGCATTAATGCTCACAGACTAAAAAGCGGCTACAAAGGGACTTAAATTATATTCTTTATAGTTATTAAATTAAATATTAATATATTTGATAATTATTGAATTTAAATGATATAAAAAAGAAAGTTTGAACTTTAGCACCATTTCAATCTTTTCTTCCTAAATTCAATTTCAAATTATTTTATCACCTTGATCTAATTTTGATTTCAAATTGTGGTTTTAAATTTACCAGTTATGATTACTTTTAGTGTCTGTTTAGAAAGGTATTTGAAGGGAAAATGGAGGAGAGTGAGGGGTAAATGCCTCATCTGTTTTGTTCGCATTTCTTCATTGATAGACCAAGGGGTGAGGAA